GCCACTGCACTCCAGTCTGGGCGACAGAGTGAGACTCCAACTCAAAAAAAAAAAAGAAAACTGATACACAAATGTTCATAGAAGCATTAATCATAATAGACAAAAAGTAGAAATAAGTCAAGTATCCATGATCTGATGAATGAATAAATACAGTATGATATATGCATATAATGGAATGTTATTTGGCATTCCATTATATTCAATACCACAAAAAAAGAAGTACTACTATATGTATGACACAACATAGATGAATGAGCTTTGAAAACATTTTGCTAAGCTAAAGAAACCAGTCACAGAAAAACATAAACAATGCCAATTACATGAAATATCTAGAAAAGGCAATCCATACGAGACAGAAAGTCTATCAGCGGTCGCCTAGGGCTGGTGGGGGAAATGGCAACATAAGGGAAGTGACTGCTAATGGAAACACAGCATGATTTCTGGTGATGGAAAAGTTCTAAAATTGATTGTGGTGATGGTTCTACAACTCTGTGAATATACTAAAAACCAGTGAAGTCTACATTTTAAGAGGGTGATTTGTATGATATGTGATCTATATCTTTTTATTTTTTTAAATTTATTTATTTATTAGTGAGAAAGCAGGATTTATTGAGAGGACAGAGAAACTCCCAAGTGGGAGGGGACCCAAAGGGGTTGCCTGTGATTTGTATCTTAATAAAGCTGTTAAAATTTTTTTTAAAGCTCACACTGGCTGCCAAGTGGAGAACGGGTAGTACTGAAACAAACAGGGAGACAGGAATACATGTATGGGGCTATGGCAGCAGTCTGGGTGGAAGAAACGGTGGGCAAGAGAGACAGCAGTTGAGAAAGAAACAGGTGGATTAGAGAGATATTTTGAAAAGTCTGCAGAACTTGGTAATGGGTTGGACTTGGAGAATAATGGAAGGGAAGAATGACTTCTGAGCTAAGAGAAAGGAAACCCAAGAAGCAATGCACAATCAACACATCCCAAGAACCAAAAAGCACTCTGTGTTGTGCCACGATTCCAACCCAGGGTCCTAGTCCTGAG